TTGTCACAAGTTGACTTGTCACAGGTTTTCGTACTTGTCAGTTATGTCGGAATATAATTGTGTATAATGCTTCATATTTATTTGGTATCCTCACTTTTAGTGAACAAATAAAACCTAAACCATTATTTAAATAAATTATTTGGATATTTAACATTTATTTAACTTGACAGACTGTAAGCATATGCATTGTTAGGTTTTAAAGAGTGTACTTTTCTTTCCAGAAAGCCTTCTTGTCTGATGCTCTGAAGACAAGAAACGCGTATACAGCTACTTCGTAATGAGCGCCGACTGATAATATTTTTGGCAAGTTGTGGAACCGCTGGAAACAATTCTATTTTGAAGTAGGTCAAGCATTTTAGTTACTTTGTTTATATGTACTTTTACATAGCTAAGATGTTTTGACTAATCTTGGAAGGCTCCACTTCCACAAGTGCGTTATGTTTCTAGCTTCTCCCCAGTAGAGATTAATCTTCCTCACAAGGTTATCATTGGAATCAACCCCTTCCCTTCTGCCGTGCTTCACATCTAGCATGGGGGCACCTCAGCCTTTCTGGCTAGCCTACACCTCCACAGGACTATGGAGGGGGAGGGGCTCTAGCCTCCACCTCTCACCCCACTATGGGGGTGTAGCCTCCACCCCCACAGAGCTATGGGTGGGGTCTAGCCTCCACCTCCACCCCACTATTGGGGTTTTGCCTCCACCTCCACAGGACTATGGGGGCTTTAGCCTCCACCCCACTATGGGGAGCTGTAGCCTCCACCTTCATAGGACTATGGGGGCTTTAGCCTCCACCTTCATAGGACTATGGGGGCTTTAGCCTCCACCTTCATAGGACTAAGGGGGCTTTAGCCTCCACCCCACTATGGGGGGCTGTAGCCTCCACCTTCATAGGACTATGGGGGCTTTAGCCTCCACCCCACTATGGGGGGCTGTAGCCTCCACCCCACTATGGGGGGCTGTAGCCTCCGCCTTCACAGGACTATGGGGACTGTAGCCTCCACCTCCACCCCACTATGGGTGGCTGTAGCCTCCACCCCACTATGGGGGGCTGTAGCCTCCACCCCACTCTAGGGGCTGTAGCCTCCATAGGACTATGGGGGGGCTGTAGCCTCCACCCCATTACCATGCTAGCCTTGGGAGGGGGGGGGCGGGGAGTGTCTACTGTAGCCTCCACTCCCACCCTTCCCTCCTCCACATCGCCAAGCTAGCCATAGGTGCTACTCCAATAACTGAGTGGCCTTAAAGTACTTCTTTAAAATACATTACTCTTATAGCCTAGCTATGCGTTTAATCATTATATAATTTAGTCTAATCGTGTTTTAAATTTTCTAGCCTGTCTTACGTTCTTTATATGCATATTTTTGTTGTAATTACTATTATATTAATTATACCTTTTACAGCCTAATTGTTTTAATAATATAATTTTTTACATCCCAGTAGTTTTTTTTATATTTTAACATAATATTTTAATGTTTTATAGCCTAAGTGTTTTAAATATTCTTGTACAGCGTTATATCTTTAATATTCTCTTTTACAGCTTGTCTTATGTTCTTTTTATGCATATTTTGTAATAAGTACTACAGTATTATTATTATTATTATTATTAAAGTATGCTTATAAATGCTTTATTAACTTTCTTTTACAGCATATTCATTTTATCCTACATTAATATCGTGTTTGTCATTTTATCATACAGTCTAATGGTGGTTTCACCAATGTTTTTTTTACAGCTTAATGGTGGTTTCACCAATGTTCTTTTACAGCCTAATGGTGGTTTCACCAATGTTTTTTACAGCTTAATGGTGGTTTCACCAATGTTTTTTACAGCTTAATGGTGGTTTCACTAATGTTTTTTACAGCTTAATGGTGGTTTCACCAATGTTCTTTTACAGCTTAATGGTGGTTTCACTAATGTTTTTTACAGCTTAATGGTGGTTTCACCAATGTTTTTTTACAGCTTAATGGTGGTTTCACCAATGTTTTTTTACAGCTTAATGGTGGTTTCACCAATGTTCTTTTACAGCCTAATGGTGGTTTCACCAATGTTCTTTTACAGCCTAATGGTGGTTTCACCAATTTTTTTACAGCTTAATGGTGGTTTCACCAATGTTTTTTTACAGCCTAATGGTGGTTTCACCAATGTTCTTTTACAGCTTAATGGTGGTTTCACTAATGTTTTTTACAGCTTAATGGTGGTTTCACCAATGTTCTTTTACAGCTTAATGGTGGTTTCACCAATTTTTTTACAGCTTAATGGTGGTTTCACCAATGTTTTTTTACAGCCTAATGGTGGTTTCACCAATTTTTTTACAGCTTAATGGTGGTTTCACCAATGTTTTTTTACAGCCTAATGGTGGTTTCACGAATGTTCTTTTACAGCTTAATGGTGGTTTCACTAATGTTTTTTACAGCTTAATGGTGGTTTCACCAATTATTTTTACAGCTTAATGGTGGTTTCACCAATTTTTTTTACAGCTTAATGGTGGTTTCACTAATGTTTTTTACAGCTTAATGGTGGTTTCACCAATGTTTTTTTACAGCTTAATGGTGGTTTCACCAATGTTCTTTTACAGCCTAATGGTGGTTTCACCAATTTTTTACAGCTTAATGGTGGTTTCACTAATGTTTTTTACAGCTTAATGGTGGTTTCACCAATTATTTTTACAGCTTAATGGTGGTTTCACCAATTTTTTTATAGGTTAATGGTGTGTTTTACCAATGTTCTTTTACAGCACAATTTTAATATTAATAATAATATATTTTACAGCCCAAAAGTTTTTATATTTTTTTAACATATAATTATGTTAATAATCTTTTATAGCCTACGTGTTTAAATATTATTTTACACCCTAATTATAAAAATATTTTTTTTTTACAGCCCAGTTTTAACAATTTTTTTCAGCCTATTTGCTGTAATATTATTATTTTGTAACCTAACTTTTTAATAATTTTTTTACATCCAAAATTGTAATATTTTTCTTTTACAGCCTAATGATTATATTTTTTTCAGCCTATATATATATATAATATATATTACCATCTTATGTTTTGGCTCTACAGGTAATTATATATTATCGTTGAGCAAATTTTTTTTTTAACTACAGTTCATCCTAATGGTCTCTATATTAGTAAGTACTATATACATTGTGCTTTGTACAAATTTGGCAAATAAAAAAAACACATTAAATTTAATGTAATATAAGTTTTGCTTAGGAGTTGTTAGCATATAATGACCTACAACAATTTACATATTTCGAGTTAAGTGTTAGTTAATACATATATATATTTATTCTCCTCAAATTATGTGTAAACTATGGGAAAACGTTTTAAATTAGGTAACACTTGCAAGTTTGGGAAATGTTTTAATAATATTACCACAGTTACAGACATGTCATCAATCAACTCAGTCTGTTGTCATCAACAATCAATTCAGTCTGTTGTCATCAACAATCAACTCAGTCTGTTGTCAACAATTAATTCAGTCTGGTGTCATCAACAATCAACTCTGCCATACAGCCTTGTTTTGAACTGAATTCCTGGACAGGGCGAGACATTTGGGCACATTACCTTGCACCTGATGCCTCTGTTCACCTCACAGTAAATAGGTTGGCAGGAGTAAGTCGACTCTTGTGGGTTGTGTCCCATCTCAGGGAAAACCACTACTGAATCAGATGACTAAATGTAAGTACAGATATTTCAATCTATTCTCATATCACAGTATACAGAGTGGATACGAACTGGACTATGTGGTGGATGGTAACAGCCATGTGGTGGATGGTAACAGGGCCATGTGATGGATAGTGACAGGGCCATGTGGTGGATAATAACAGGGCCATGTGGTGGACGGGAACAAGACCATGTAGTGGACGGGAACAGGGCCATGTGGTGGATAGTAACAGGCCCATGTGCTGGATTGTAACGGCCATGTGCTGGATGGTAACAGGGCCATGTGATGGATGGTAACAGGGCCATGTGATGGATGGTAACAGGGCCATGTGTTGGATGGTAACGGCCATGTGCTGGATGGTAACAGGGCCATGTGCTGGATGGTAACAGGGCCATGTGTTGGATGGTAACAGGGCCATGTGTTGGATGGTAACAGGGCCATGTGGTGGATGGTAACAGGGCCATGTGGTGGATGGTAACAGGGCCATGTGCTGGATGGTAACAGGGCCATGTGCTGGATGGTAACAGGGCCATGTGTTGGATGGTAACAGGGCCAATAGGTGGATGGTAACAGGGCCATGTGCTGGATGGTAACAGGCCCATGTGCTGGATGGTAACAGGGCCATGTGGTGGATGGTAACAGGGCCATGTGGTGGATGGTAACAGGGCCATGTGGTGGATGGTAACAGGGCCATGTGGTGGATGGTAACAGGGCCATGTGGTGGATGGTAACAGGGCCATGTGGTGGATGGTAACAGGGCTATGAGGTGGATGGTAACAGAGCCATGAGATGGACGGTAACAGGGCCATGTGATTGATGGTAACGGCTATGAGATGGACGGTAACAGGGCCATGTTATTGATAGTAACAGGGCTATGAGGTGGATGGTAACAGAGCCATGAGATGGACGGTAACAGGGCCATGTGATTGATGGTAACAGGGCCATGAGATGGACGGTAACAGGGCCATGTGATTGATGGTAACAGGGCTATGAGATGGACGGTAACAGGGCCATGAGATGGACGGTAACAGGGCCATGTGATTGATGGTAACAGGGCTATGAGATGGACGGTAACAGGGCCATGTGATTGATGGTAACAGAGCCATGTGCTGGATGGTAACAGGGCCATGTGATTGATGGTAACAGGGCTATGAGGTGGACGGTAACAGGGCCATGAGATGGACGGTAACAGGGCCATGTGGTGGATGGTAACAGGGCCATGTGCTGGATGGTAACAGGGCCATGTGCTGGATGGTAACAGAGCCATGTGCTGGATGGTAACAGAGCCATGTGCTGGATGGTAACAGGCTCATGTACTGGATGGTAACAGGCTCATATACTGGATGGTAACAGGGCCATGTACTGGATGGTAACAGGGCCATTAGGTGGATGGTAACAGGGCCATGAGGTGGATGGTAACAGGGCCATGAGGTGGATGGTAACAGGCTCATGTACTGGATGGTAACAGGGCCATGAGGTGGATGGTAACAGGCTCATGTACTGGATGGTAACAGGGCCATGTACTGGATGGTAACAGGGCCATGAGGTGGATGGTAACAGGGCCATGAGGTGGATGGTAACAGGGCCATGTGCTGGATGGTAACAGGGCCATGTGCTGGATGGTAACAAGGCCATGTGCTGGATGGTAACGGCCATGTGCTGGATGGTAATAGGGCCATGTGATGGATGGTAACAGGGCCATGAGGTGGATGGTAACAGGGCCATGTGCTGGATGGTAACAAGGCCATGTGCTGGATGGTAACGGCCATGTGCTGGATGGTAATAGGGCCATGTGATGGATGGTAACAGGGCCATGAGGTGGATGGTAACAGGGCCATGAGGTGGATGGTAACGGCCATTAGGTCGATGGTAACAGGGCCATGTGCTGGATGGTAACAGGGTCATGTGCTGGATGGTAACAGAGCCATGTGCTGGATGGTAACAGGACCATGAGATGGACGGTAACAGGGCCATGAGGTGGATGGTAACAGGGCCATGTGCTGGATGGTAACAAGGCCATGTGCTGGATGGTAATAGGGCCATGTGCTGGATGGTAACAGGGCCATGTGCTGGATGGTAACAAGGCCATGTGCTGGATGGTAATAGGGCCATGTGATGGATGGTAACAGGGCCATGTGATGGATGGTAACAGGGCCATGTGATGGATGGTAACAGGGCCATGTGATGGATGGTAACAGGCCCATGTGATGGATGGTAACAGGGCCATGTGGTGGAGGGTAACAGGGCCATGTGGTGGATGGTTACAGGGCCATGTGGTGGATGGTTACAGGGCCATGCTGCCCATTCCATTGGAGCAGGGCTATGCAGTAGACAGAATCAAGACCATGCAGTGGAGGGGACCAGGGCTATGGGATGGACAATATCAGGGCCAAGTAGTGGAAACTACTAATTTCCATAGACTTTCCACGTGCCTCTGCTCCGTGACCTCGATGAGCAGGTCATGAAGCAGAGCAGGTGTTTTTAAGTAGAATTTCAGAGTAGAGGAAGAGTAGGGGAAAAAGGTGAGCAAGTAAGCCAAAAGGCGAAAGTGTAGTGCAATGGGATTACAGGTGATGGTTTAGAGTAAGAGATCTAATGGTGAACGTACATAGGAAATGGGTGACAGGTGAAGAAGTAAAGAGATCTAATGGTGAACGTACAGTGCAGGGCTGACCTCTTTGTTAAATGGAGTGTAGTGCATAAAGGCCTTGAAGCATTTCATTATGCTTCAAGGCAATCATGGCAAGACTTCATTGCTGGTGATAATAGAGTCTAGAGATACAGGTCAACGGTTTGCTATGCCTGGAGGTGCGTGCAGAACGAGGGATGTAAAAGTAGAGCAGAATTGCGATATAGAGGTCGACAGGTAAAAACCAAAACTACATCTAGGTGGGCTAGGACAAAATACGATCTAGCACAGCAAAGCTGCTTAAGTGGGCGGAATAAGGTATGTCCACAGCGACCTGAAGTACGTGAAAACATAATTGTTCATGCTTGACAAGAAGAGAGCCTAAGGGTTGATGTGTAAGGACAAATACCAGAATAGTGTCCAATGGGGTGACAGTTAAAAGGTAGCGTGTGGGTGACGAAACAAGCGAGTATTGTACGTCGATGGTTGGTAGGGAATATGGGCAGCATCTGCGTGTAATTGGTATTACGGTTGTGGGACTATGGGCTACAGGGAGCCGAGCGGACAGCACTCTGGACTTGTGATCCTGTGGTCCTGGGTTCGATCCCAGGCGCCGGCGAGAAACAATGGGCAGAGTTTCTTTCACCCTATGCCCCTGTTACCTAGCAGTAAAATAGGTACCTGGGTGTTAGTCAGCTGTCATGGGCTGCTTCCTGGGGGTGGAGGCCTGGTCGAGGACCGGGCCGCGGGGGACACTAAAAAGCCCCGAAATCATCTCAAGATAACCCTTATCATCCCTATCACACCCTGTGTCTACAGACAAAAACACAAGACATGTAATTTCCACTTGGTCAGGACGGTAGAGCGACTGTCTCACTTCATGCAGGTTGGCGTTCAATCCCCAACTGTCCAAGTGGATGGACACCATTGCCCTTCCCCCGTTCCATCCCAAATCCTAATCCCTTCCAAGTGCTAGTCATAATGGCTTAGCACTTTCTCCTAATAGTGTCCTTCCCTGGTGAGACTTTATTCGACGTGACTTTCTCTGACGAGACGTCCAGTGTGACTTTCTGATGAGACTTGTCCGATGTGACTTTCTCTAATGAGACTGTCCGATGTGACTATCTCATGAGACTTGTCCGAATGTGACTCTCTATGACGAGACTGTCCAATGTAATATTGCTCATCAAACCTAACGATCCTGCTGTACACAATCCTACCCCCACATCATACTATATCCTGTAATAAACATTCATTAAGAGTTCATGAGAAGTAAGCCATGGTGTTCAGTGCAGTCATTTGACGACTGAATAGTCACGGGTTCGATTCCCGAGCAGGACGTGATGTTTGAGCAGATTTACTTTACAAATAATGCCTCGGTTCATCTAGCAACGAATAAGTACATGGAAATTAAGGCAATCAACTCAATCAGCCATATAGCCTTGGATTGAATTCCTGAACAGGACGTGACATTTGGGCACGTTTTCTTGCATCTGATGCTTCTGTACACCTCACGGTAAATAGGTTTGCAGGAAGTAAGTCGACTCGTGTGGGTTGTGTCACGGCAATGGGAACCCACTACTGAATCAGATGTCTAAACGTAAGTACAGATATTTCAATCTATTCTCATATAATATACAGAGCATTTGTATTACATCCTCTGTAAACATGGGAAGGAAATTGATTGGATATGCGTCTCTGTATTTTCCCTTTAAAGACTATACAGGAAGAATTAACTCCTTGTCCAAAGAAATTGAGAAATAAATCAACGATGGATGGTAACAGAGCCATGTGGTGGATGGTAACAGGGCCATGTGATGGAAGGTAACAGGGCCATGTGCTGGATGGTAACAGGGCCATGTGCTGGATGGTAACAGGGCCATGTGCTGGATGGTAACAGGGCCATGTGCTGGATGGTAACAGGGCCATGTGATGGATGGTAACAGGGCCATGTGGTGGATGGTAACAGGCCCATGTGATGGAAGGTAACAGGGCCATGTGCTGGATGGTAACAGGGCCATGTGATGGATGGTAACAGCCCCATGTGATGGATGGTAACGGGCTATGAGGTGGATGGTAACAGGGTTATGAAGAGGCTGGTAACAGGGCCATGTGCTGGATGGTAACAGCCCCATGTGATGGATGGTAACGGGCTATGAGGTGGATGGTAACAGGGTTATGAAGAGGCTGGTAACAGGGCCATGTGCTGGATGGTAACAGAGCCATGTGCTGGATGGTAACAGGACCATGAGATGGAAGGTAACAGGGCCATGTGGTGGACGGTAACAGGGCCATGTGGTGGACGGTAACAGGGCTATGAGGTGGATGGTAACGGCCATGTGGTGGATGGTAACAGGGCCATGTGGTGGACGGTAACAGGGCCATGTGGTGGACGGAAACAGGGCTATGAGGTGGATGGTAACGGCCATGTGGTGGACGGTAACAGGGCCATGTGGTGGACGGTAACAGGGCTATGAGGTGGATGGTAACAGAGCCATGGGATGGACAATATCAGGGCTAAGTGGTGGAAACTGCTAATTTCCATAGACTTTCCACGTGGCTGTGCTCCATGACCTCGATGAGCAGGTCATGAAGAGGAGCAGGTGTTTTTAAGTAGAATTTCAGAGTAGAGGAAGAGTAGGGGAAAAAGGTGAGCAAGTAAGCCAAAAGGCGAAGGTGTAGAGCAAAGGAATAACAGGTGATAGTGTAGAGGAAGAGATCGAAAGGTGAACGTACATAGCAAATGGGTGACAGGTTGTGAAGTAAAGAGATCTAATGGTGAACGTATAGTGCAGGGCTGACCTCTTTGTTGAATGGAGTGTAGTGCATAAATGCCTTGAAGCATTTCATTATGCTTCAAGGCAATCATGGCAAGACTTCATTGCTGGTGATAATAGAGTCTAGAGATACAGAAGGTCAATGGTTTGCTATGCCAGGAGGTGCGTGTAGAACAAGGAATGTAAAAGTAGTGGGGAATTGCGATGCAGAGGTCGACAGGTAAAGAAACAAACTACATAATGTGGGCTTGGACAATATACGATCTAGCACAGCAAAGCTGCTTAAGTGGGCGGACTAAGGAATGTCCATAGCGACCTGAAAGACGTTGAAACATAATTGTTCATGCTTGACAAGAAGAGAGCCTAAGGGGAGAAGGGAGCCGGTCGGCCGAGCGGACAGCACGCTGGACTTGTGATCCTGTGGTCCTGGGTTCGATCCCAGGCGCCGGCGAGAAACAATGGGCAGAGTTTCTTTCACCCTATCCCCCTGTTACCTAACAGTAAAATAGGTACCTGGGTGTTAGTCAGCTGTCACGGGCTGCTTCCTGGGGGTGGAGGCCTGGTCGAGGACCGGGCCGCGGGGACACTAAAAAGCCCCGAAATCATCTCAAGATAACCCTTATCACACCCTGTGTCTACAGACAAAAACACAAGACATGTAATTTCCACTTGGTCAGGACGGTAGAGCGACTGTCTCGCTTCATGCAGGTTGGCGTTCAATCCCCAACTGTCCAAGTGGATGGACACCATTGCCCCCCGCCCCCCGTTCCATCCCAAATCCTTATCCTGATCCCTTCCAAGTGCTAGTCGTAATGGTTTTGCACTTTCTCCTGATAGTTTCCTTCCCTGGTGAGACTTTATTCGATATGACTTTCTCTGACGAGACGTCCGGTGTGACTTTCTGATGAGACTTGTCCGATGTGACTTTCTCTAATGAGACTGTCCGATGTGACTTTCTCATGAGACTTGTCCGAATGTGACTCTCTATGACGAGACTGTCCAATGTAATATTGCTCATCAAACCTAACGATCCTGCTGTACACAATCCTACCCCACGTCATACTGTATCCTGTAATAAACATTCATTAAGAGTTCATGAGAAGTAAGACATGGTGAATGCCTTGTTTCTTGAAGAGTAAACACCTGTGAAGATCACTATGCTTATCTAGTGTTCAGTGCAGTCAGTTGACGACTGACTAGTCTCGGGTTCGATTCCCGAGCAAGACATGATGTTTGAGCAGATTTGCTTTACAAGTAATGCCTCTGTTCACCTAGCAGCGAATAGGTACATGGAAGTTAAAGCAACTGTTGTTTCATCTAAGGAAAGGTCAAGTGATACACAGTTACATCACGAGGAGGATGGTGTAGAGGTGATGCAATTCAGGTTAGGAGTTGGTAAGTGGGCGCAACAGGCCCCCGATGGGCGTGGTTCACAGTGGCACAGAAGTATAAGGACGCGTTGTATATTGTGCAGAACATGTGCCCAAAAGATGGGAACATGGCATGGTGGAGCGATGAACAAAAAGTATTAAGTACTGAGCCGAAAGGCAGAGGTGCACAGCATGTGTAGAGGTATGGAGCAAGGGGTCTATCCCACACAGTATGTGTGTGGAAGATGCCCTCTATTTTTTTTTTTAACATTTAACCCACTCCTTGTGGGTGGTCTTACCCTTATCCTTGCCACTCATTGTACGTGGCCTTAAATTTTACCTTGCCACTCCTTGTGGGTGGTCTTACCCTTATCCTTACCACTCCTTGTGGGTGGTCTTACCCTT